CTGCTAGATTACTCTATAGAGCTCTAGACCCACACACCCAACTGTTCACTCAAATCAGAAACTGAGATGCTACCACAGGTGCCTCCTTTTCCATCAATTCTCACAATCCAGTGAGCACCCAACCTCCTCATATCTTCCTAACAACTATTTTCTCCACTCCCAAAGATCACCTATAGGAGCCACCAGAATTTTTAAGTGCATTTGGAGGGTGGGGCATGGCAGGCATCTCATCAGATTGTCAGAGGGGTTCAACATCTCCAAAAGGTCAAGAACCATTATTAATCTCTGTCCTCCAAGTCCTCCTCTACCCTGTCAATATAGTCCATCTAAAATGTAAATGTGAATTCAATATTTCTTTGCTTAAAATCCTTTAATCCTAAAAACTGTGGCAGATGATACTACATGCTTTCACCCCCTCATCCCACCCCATGTCTCCACATGTGTTGTTCCCTTTGCCCAGAAGATCCATCCTTCTTAGCTGGCCTATCAATCTTCAACTCATCCATAAGACTCAATTCAAAGTCACTTACCCTGTGACACATCCCAGACAGCAGCCTGCTCTCAGAAATRGCTCACCACTACCTCTATCAGCGCTGCCTACATCCTCTGTGCAGCTATCTTTGCACTTACCACTCTGTTCTGTGATTCCTTGTTCATAGGTCCATCTTCTTACTTGACTGGGAGTACTGCTCAGGGGCTAAACCATGTATGATCATTTATACATTCCCAGCATCTGGCCTAGTGCCTGACACTCAGTAAATGCATGCTGAATTATAAGTACATGGAATTAATAAGCATTTACAACTGTATAGCTCTTTATAATTCATACATCTTATATTTTTCTCTTGATTTTTACAACAGTACTGAAAAGGTAGACAGGAATGTCTTCCTGAGGGTTGAGGAGGTTCATAAAAATATTTATCAGAAAATTAGTGAACTCAATGGACTTTGACAATGACTCTATGCTCCAAAAGAGAAGGACTGACCAGCCATCATGACCTGTGATTTTCTTGTGATGCTTAGACAGAGGATAAGGGAAATGTGCCTCTTGTTCTACTTTACCCTCTCCTCACACATGCCCACAARTCCAGTAACTTCCCACAAAAAAAGTCAATCCAATCCAAAGAAAAGAGAACCCCAGGATTCTAATATTTCTGTCTATTTCATCAATGAGAATGACCCAGAGCTGGGCATGGTGCCTTGCTCACAGCAGGCAGGCAATGAACAGTTGAAGGGAAGAAAGAAATGAGGTATCTTTATAGAAAAAGGGTTAAAAAGAACTAAAGATTTAGGTTGAAAAGGAATGAGAGAAAAGCCCTGACACAATTCTTGAAGACTGCCATTATCCAGATCCCAGAGCTAGAAAGCAGAGCACATGAAGTTGGAGACCAGTGCAAATCCAAACTGATATCACAGAAAATAAGAGGAACTGCCAAACTGTGGCAGACAGAGGTAGTCTAGAATTTTATTAAAAGGAAAGAAAGAAAAGAAAAGAAAGAAAGAAAGAAAAGAAGGAAGGAAAGAAGGGAGAGAGAGAAGGGTAGATCTTGCAAGCTACAGACAGGTGAGTTTATCAATGATTCTTGACAAAATTCTGGAATGTATTTTTTTATGATCTTGAAACTTTACTTAGTTATATATTATATTCCCTATTTGAGATTAGAATGTCTCTTTTATTATCAGTTTTTAACACTTAGGTGATTACTGGCACCAGGATAGGTTCTCTAAGAACAAGACATTACATGCCAGAATAACCTAATTTCCTTTGGAGCCACATCAATGTTTACAGCAGCACAATTCACAGTAGCTAAATTGAGAAAACAACCTAGATGCCCTTAAGTAGATGAGTGGATAAAGAAAATGTGGTATATATACACAATGGAATATTATTCAGCATTAAAAGAGAATAAAATCATAGCATTTAGGTGGAGAATATTATGCTAAGTAAGTGAAGCCAATCCCCCCAAAAAACAAATGCCAAATGTTTTCTCTGATATGTGGATGTTGATCCATAATGGGGATGGAGAGCAGAGCATGGGAGGAATAGAGGAACTTTAGATAGGGTAAAGGGAAAGGGAGGGGGATGGGGATAGGATAGATGGTGGAATGAGATGGACATCATTACCCTAAGTACATGTATAAAGACACTAATGGTATGACTGTGACTCTACTTTGTGTAGAGACATGAAAAACTGTGCTCTATATGTATACTATGAACTGAAATGCGTTCTGCTACCACGTATAACGAATTAGAATAAATAAATTTTTTAAAAAAGAAACGCTTATTTGGGTAAAAAATAAGACAAATGCTAGATATATTTTTATTTTAGCAAGAAATCTGAAAAAATCTCTTATAATTTCATGACAAAATGGAGGAACAGAGAATGGAGAAGAATTACAGCTGTGAATGTAGAATAACACATCAAAATTGTCTTGAATGTGTGTTCTAGGACTCTGTAATTAATAGCCTTCATAAACATTTTAATCTGAAAAAGTACATAATGGCAGAGATCTTGTTTAACTTGTCAACATCTAAAACAGTGCCAGTACACAGACATATGATCAATAAATGGTTTTGAATAAAAAATCCACAGAGAGCCTATTCACTAAATTTGCAGAGCTACAAAATTTGAGTTAATATTTTCGTCTGTATTTCATGAGGAAAATGATAGCCTTTTCTAATATTTGTGTTGACTGTCTACCTACCTTATGTAGGCTGGCTGGAATAAGAGCTAAAAAGAATGCAGAGTTAGACTAATGGGAAAAATACATACAAAGAAAAGAAAATGTTATAAGAAAAGCAAAGAAAAGATCAGATCTAGAACAGGGTTGGAAACTATTGCTTATGGGCCAAATCCTGCCTGCTGCCTATTTTTGTAAATAAAGATTTATTGAAACACGCACAATGCCCTTTAGTTTGTACACTGTGCATGTTTTCTCCTATCTTAAATGGTTGAGCTGAGAAGTCACAACCAAGACCAACTGGTCAACAAAGCTTAAAATGTTTACTATTTGACTCTTTCCAGAAATAATATGTTGAATATGAGCATAACTTTGGAGAGAAATATTAGAATACAAAGCTACAAAATCTGCAGGTTGTGGAAACCAATGTGACAGCAGAAGTTGGACTGATAGACTCATAGCCCTGAGATTCTGTGAAATAAAAAATTTCCTGGCCCGGCATGATGGTGCATGCCTGCAGCTCAGGAGGCTGAGGCGGGATGATTGCAAGTTCAAAGCCATTCTGTCTCAAAATAAAAAATAAAACGGGCTGGGGATGTAGCTCAGTGGTAGAGTGCTTGCCTTGCATCCACAAGGCTATGGGTTCGATCCCTGGTACAACAACAACAACAACAGCAAAAATTCCTGAACACCGCTAGAATCCTAAGAGCAAATAAGAAGGTACTCAAAGAATCCCCTCCCTCCTTCCTGGTTCTGCCTTCTCACAAATGCTCCTCCTTGATTTTTGGTGCGAGCTCCTGAACAGAAAGAAGACAGATCTTGCAGGTGAAGAGGTTGGGGGAGTGCTAAGTTTGAGTGAGGAAAAGTTCAGCCCATAAGTTGAGTCTCCACATATTAGGCAACAAATATAGGGCTAGTTTGGTACTCCCAAAATTCTCCTGTTTGAAACATAAAATGAATATAATTCCTCCAACTCAGTGGAAAATCCAAGGAGGCACAGGTCAYGGCCTGCACATGAAACTGTCAGCTGGAGAGGAGAGAGCAGTAAAGTAACCATAGAACAGGCCAAGATTTAGGGAACGTTCAAAAAAGCAGYTGAGGGCAGGCTGTGATTATTGACTATGACAGGGAAGTCTTGTGGAAGTTGTCACCTCTGCAATGAAACCTTGACAGAAAGAACAGGTTTAGAGAAATAGAGAGATAGAGAGATGGGGAAGGATGACTTCACATTTCACATGGGCAGCAGTGCCCTGATGTTCTTGGACACTCCTCTCATGCCACTGACTTGAGAAACTTTCAGGAGCAGTAGTAACTTTCCTGCTGTGGGCCACACATACCCATGTCAGTCTGATGGTCTCACTGACAGCTCTGGGGTCTGAATGCATTGCTCTCCTAGTCTAACTCTCCCCCAGGGTTCAGGTTGACCCTCAGACAGTCAGCAAGGATGTCTGTTCTCCTGGTATCACTGCCAAATCTAAAGCAGCCCCTGCTGTGCTGCTCTACTCCTGGAAGTTTCAAAGGAATCTCAGTCTCTCTGAAAGAGCCAGAACAATTGGCAGGAAGCAGGGACAGTCTGCACAACCAAAAACTCAAATGTAAAACACTCATTTTTATCTGCAGCTAAAGCAACCTATCTTCTCAACTCCATTTTGGAAGAACTACTCACCAGTGCAATGTGGACTGACTTGCCCAGGTGCCTTCCAACATATAGGTGACCAAGACCTGGCACATCACCTCTTCTGTTCCAACTATCACCCACACAACATCACAATGACCCCATTTTATAAGCACAGACATTAAGGCACAAAGAAGGTTCACTATTTTTCCTAGATCACACAGTAAAGCAAGGGGCCAATCCCAGAACTGGGATTGTACATATCGAAAAAGAATTATTCAGTTCAGTATTTAGGGACTTCTGAGGTTGAGGAAACCAATAAGGCTGTTTTCTAGTTCTTGGGCAGTCTAAGTCTGCAGGAAGTAAAAGATGAGCAAATATATAGTTCATGAAGTTATTTAAATCTGCTCTACTGTCCACTCTTCTCAGGYTGCCCAGTTGAGGCACTTTCAGAAGAACACCAGGTGAAATGTGCCACAATTAGGTGATGAACTCAGGCTTCTGTTTCCTTTTCCAATCTTTTGAGGTGATTAAATTACAGAGCCAGAGGAACTGTGAAGGGCATGTATTCCAAGTCCTTTGAGTTATCCATGGGTTCCCAGAAATAAGGGACTTGCAGAGTTGCTGGTAGTGCTGGCACAAAGCAAGATTGATGGAAGCCATGGGAGAGAGCTCCCAGAGCAACAGGGTAGCCCATGCTTACCTTCCAAAGAATGGATTCCTTGGTCCTTGGCAGTCTTGTAAACACTGCTGAAATCATCTCCAAGATTTGGGTCAGCTCCAGCAGCAAGCAGGACCTGCACCACACTGGAAGAAACCAGAAAGACAGAAGTATCAAAAGCAGTAAAGGCTCACGAGGCAGACTCAGATCTGGAAGCATGTTTGGGGACTAAGTCTGTCTCTGCTCATATGAGTGGTACAGAGGAAAGAACACAAACTCTGGGAGTGTAAAAGACAATGCAAGGGGGGCTGGGGATGTGGCTCAAGCGGTAGCGCGCTTGCCTGGCATGCGTGCGGCCCGGGTTCGATCCTTAGCACCACATACCAACAAAGATGTTGTGTCCGCCGAAAACTAAAAAAAAAATAAATGTTAAAATTCTTAAAAAAAAAAAAAAAAGACAATGCAGGAAAATAGGTTTTGAAACTTATCGGTAAGAGGTTTGGGACAAATTACTTAACACCTTCCTAAGGCCCAATTTCCATAACTATGGGTTACGAACTTATTCATTCAACAAACACTTATCAAATGCCTACTATGTCTTAGTCACTATCCTAGATGCTGGGGTCCATGCTCATATGAGGCTGACAGTCTGCTGGGAAGAAAATTGCAAAGCATAAAATTAAAGTTAAGTGTGATAAAGATTGTGATGGGAGAAATACTATGTGCAGAAAAGGGGAAAAGGGGAGGGAATCAAGGAAGGCCTCCAAGCAGAATGTCACCAAGAGAGCAGAACAGGGATTTTCAGCGCTTGCTGCACGCACCCCCCCCCCAATCAATTTGCACTAAACTATTATCCATCTGTGAAACTAGATTTCACAGAAGATGAAAAAAAAAAAAAACAGGTGAAATATTACAGCACCTAAGCAAAGCAGAAAAATAAGAAACACACTGAAGGTAGGAAGATCAGTTTTACTTTACTCCTGTCACCCACTCCCAAATTGAGTCAGCACAGAATGGAGATATATCTTTCATGTGTGGGAAGGAAAGGAAACTGAGAACTGGTCATTACCTTGAACCCTGAAACTACTCCCTCTACTGTAAAATTCAGTAACATACAGTCCCCATGGCTCCAGACTCCAAGGCCAATACCTCAGGAAAAGTCTTCATGCCCCGATGCCAAGCCAAGTAACACAGTCCCAGGCTCTAAGTCTGTCCTGCTACAGACAGGGTTTGACCTATGTATGGCCAAGCCAACCTTAGCAGCCCCAGGCTTCCGAGCAGCCCCAGCACCAGGACAGCTCCCACAGACTCAAGCTCTAGGCCCACCTTGTAGATTGATTATCCAGGATTGAGCTGGACCCCAAGAACTTGGACATCTGGCCTACTCTAGCACCCTTAGAGCCTTAGTCATCAGGTGGGCAGCGTGGACCCACATTCCATGCTTTCTTAGTACAAGGATAGCCCCTGCAACTCCAGGCTCCAGCCTAGCCCAGAGCCAAGCTGGTTCATACAGCCAAAAGCTTCAGGCCTATCTCAGTACCAGTAGACACAAGTACCAAGCTTTCCCAATCTCAGTCTGGTCCCTACAGCCCCACACTCCAGGCTGGTCTCTGAAGCCCCACACTCCAGCAGATCCAGAATGCAGACCTAGCACTAGCCTAGCCCCAACAGATCCAGGTTCTAGGACTACCCTTATGGACCTAGGTTCCTGGACCTACGTTCCCCAAAAGTCCCAGGACCTAGATCAGTCTTCACAGACCTAGCCTCTAGGCTAGCACCTGCATACCCAGGCTCCAGAACAACATCCATGATTCCAGGCTTTAAAACAGACTCAGTAGATCCAAACTCCATACTTTTCCAGCACCATACCAATCCTAGATTATAGGCTGGTCCCCATGGACCTAGTCTAGACCTGGATCCAAGTCTAGGCCTGCTCTAGGACAAACCTTTTAGATTCCAGGAACCAGGCTGGATCCCATGGACTCAGCCCCTGTGGATCCAGGTGCCAGGTTCATTCTAGTGGCAGGCCAGCCCTTACAGATTTAGGCTCCAGATCCACCCCAGAATAAGGTCAGTCCTTGTGGACCCAGGTTTTCAGGCTAGGCCATGTAGATAGAGGCTCCAGGCCCAACCAACTGACCTTGGTGCCAGGCCTACACACTTACTCAGGCCCCATGTCAGCCTGCCTGTGGGCTCCAACAACAAGCTCACCATAGACTGCACAGGATGGCCTGCCCAGAATCTCTGGAAGAGTTGACTGGAGAAGGGCTTTTACAGAAAAAGCCAGTCTTTAAGATTGAAATTACTCCTTACATCTTTCAAATTACAGCCAGCAGGCTGAGGCTGCAGACTCAGTGGTATAGTGCTTGCCCTGCATGTGTGAGGCACTGGGTTAGATCCTTAGCACCACATAAAAATAAATAAATAAATAAATAAATAAAGCAAAGGTATTTCAGAAAATGTGCAGCCACCAATTCATGGCCATAAGGATCAAGAACAATCAGGAAAATGTGACCATCACTAAACAACAAAATAAAGGAACAGTAAGAAATCCTACAGGAGTAGAGATTCATGATCTGCCTGGCAAAGAATTTAAAATAAATATTTTAGGAACCTCAACAAAAATCAAGAAGGTAGAATGTATTTTCTCTTCTAAATTTGTTAATTTTGTTCAGAGAAGCAAACCAGTGAAATAGAAAATGATTAAAATAAAAAAATGTCACTTACAATGAAATTTTAAATAGCCAAATCTGGAGCTGAAAAATACAATGAATAGAATGAAATGGAAAATGCAACACAGGGCACCAGCAACAAAATGGATCAAGCATAAGAAAGAATCTATTAGCTTAAAAAAKAGAAAAAAGAAAGGATGAAGAAAGTTTACAGAATTTATGGGAAGGCATCAAAAGAGCCAAATTATAATAGTTCAAGAAGGAGAAAAAACAGACAAAGTGGGTAGAAAGCCCATTTAAAGAAATAACAGAGCTAGGGATGTAGCTCAGTGGAAGAGCACTTGCCTACTAAGTGCGAAGCCCTGGGTCAATCCTAACACTGAAATTAAGAATTAAAAAAGGCAAAGACAGGATCTTGAAAGCAGTAAGAGAAGAGGCAGTATACAATAAGGCTAACAGCAGAGTTTTTGGCCAAATCCTTGCAGGTCACAAGAACAGTGGTGAAGTAAAAGAAAAAAAAAAAAAAAAAACATGAAGGCCATGAAACTTCCTTCAAAGAAAAAAATGTCAATGAAAAATACCATACTCAGCAAAGCTGTCCTTAAGATATGAAGGTGAGATAAAGATTTTTTCAGACAAACAAACCTGATTTAGTATGTCATCACCATACTAAATGGTGACCTGTCTTATAAGAAATGCTAAATTCTTATTCAAATTGAATTGAATTCAAATTGAAAAAGAAAAAATGCTAATAAGTAACACAAAAACATATGAGGTATAAAACTCATTGGTAAAAATAAGTATACAAATTCAAAATAATACTGCAATGGTGATGTTTAAATTACTGATATCTTTAGTATGAAAGTTAAAAGACAAACTATTAACTCAGGGTTTTTGTATATGATCAAAGTTAAGTTGTAATCAGCTTAAAACAGCCTGTTATGAAAAGCCTAATGGTAACCACAAAGCAAAAACCTATAGTAGATACACAAAAGATAGAAAATATTAAAGAAAATCACACAATCACAAAGAATACAGCAAGAGACGAAGAAAGGCACAAAGATCTACAAAACAACCGGGGGGGGGGGGRGAAAAGAAAACCTATCAAGAATTATCTTGAATGTAGATAGATCAAATTCTCCAATCGAAAGACAAAGAGTGACTAAATAGATTAAAAAACAAAACCTAAGCATATGACGTCTACAAGAGACTTACTTCACCTGAGGAAAATACAGAGTGAAGGTGTGAGGGATGTAAAAAGATAGTTCATGTGAACAGAAATCAGAAGATAGCAGGAACAGTTATGTTTATAACAGATAAAATGCATTTTAAGGTGAAATCTGTAAAAAGAGGTAAAGAAAGTTATTATATAATGATAAAGGGGTCAGTTAATCAAAAGATTTAACCATTATAAATACATATGTACCCAACAACAAAGCACTTATGTAATAAAACAACTATTAACAGACCTAAAGGGAGAGAGAAACTATAATATAATAATAGGAGGGGACTTAAAATACCTCACTTTTAGCCACTGATAGATCATCATTGAGATAATCAATAAAAAAAACCACTGAATTTAAACTACACTTTATACCAAATAGACCTAATAAATTACACAGAACATTCCATCTAATAGTAACAGGATACACACTGTTCTAAAAGTGCACACAGACCATTCTCTAGGCTTAAATCAAACCAAGTATCTTTGTGGATACAGACCAAAGAGAGGGATAGTTGGGCCAAATGGTGGTTCTATTCCCAATCTTCGAAGGAATCTCCATACTGCTTTCCATATTGGCTGCATCAATTTGCAGTCCTACCAGCAGTGTATGAGTGTACCTTTTTTTCCCACATCCTCGCCAATACTTATTGTTGTTTGTATTCTTAATAGCGGCTGTTCTGACAAGAGTGAGATGAAATCTTAAAGTAGTTTTGATTTGCATTTTTCTAAGTGCTAATGATAGTGAATTTTTCATATATTTGTTGATTGATTACATATCATCTTCTGAGAAATGTCTGTTCATGTCCATGACCCATTTATTGGTTGGGTTATTTGTTTTTTTGGTGTTTAGCTTTTTGAGTTCTTTACATACCCTAGAGATTAGTGCTCTATCTGATGTGTGAGGGGTAAAAATTTGCTCCCAAGATGTAGGCTCTCTATTTACCTCAGGGATTGTTTCTTTTATTGAAAAGAAACTTTTTAGTTTGAATCTATCCGATTTATTGATTCTTGATTTTAATTCTTGCACTATAGGAGTCTTATTAAGGAAGCTGGGGCCTAATCCAACATGATGAAGATTAGGGCATACTTTTTAAACAGCATACTACAGGGACACAGCCACATCAATGTTTATAGCAGCACAATTCACAATAGCTAAATTATGGAACCAAACTAGATACCCTTCAATAGATGAATGGATAAAAAAAATGTGGCATATATACACAATGGAATATTACTCAGCAATAAAAGA